ATAGATACTATGCCAGTCAGAGTATCGCAACCAAGTAGCTCACGAAGGCGACCCCGAGATGAAGAACTACATGTACTACGACGACGACGGAGGATACCGAGTAACCGATCACTGGTGATCGTATTTGAGAGCGAGCCTGCTTACGATGGTCAACCAGAAGGTGTGTTTGTAGGACAATTTCACAATGAGGACACGAAAGTTCATGCTTGGTCAGAAGTCAAAGGCGTGGGCCACTACCGTTGGCTTCAAGGGTCGATGAACCACTTGCCTCGTGAACAACAGTTGGAGTTCATAGCAAAAGTTATGCGACAGATCTTCATTTTCTTGCGTTGGTACTGATCAACAACATTGCTTCTCAGAGACCTCGAAGCTAAAAGAGGGAGTGATGTTAGGGACATATTCCATAGAACTTTTTAGAGAGAAGTTTCTAGAACCTTCTAGAAAACAAGCCTCTGGAACCTTCTAGAAGAGAAGCCTCTGGAACCTTTTAGAGAGAAGTTTCTAAAAGCTTCTAGAAAGGAAGTCTCTGGAACCTTCTAGAAGAGAAGTTTCTAGAAGCTTCTAGAAAGGAATCCCTTGGAACTTTCTAGAAGCTTCTTAGTTAATAGAAGTAGCTCGAGAAGTTTCTAGAACCTTCTAGAAAGGAAGCCTCTGGAACCTTCTAGAAGCTTCCTAGTTAATAGAAGTAGCTCGAGAAGCTTCCTAAGTAGGAGTATATATAGGGATCGAGGCTGAAGAGTTCTTCAGTCTCGACAACACATCTCTTGGAGTTTTAGCTCACCTTTCTGGTGTTGTTCTTGTACTCATCTGTTTAATCTAGTTTTGTCACTTCTTCTTGAACTTCTTGTTAGATTTCAAGTCTGTATTTTGTATCCGTGATAGTACAATGTCTTTGGTATCATGACCTTGAAAGAGACTCCTAATGTTTGGTGATTTTATTGGAGGTAGAAACGACTCATAATAGTTTTACAAATATATTATTTAAAAGAAGCTATAAAAGCCTCAATAATAAAAAAATAATAGGGTGGTCTTTTTATCTTAGAATAGAACATTATTGATGGCTAAAAAGACCTATCAACTATCTTCAAAAGAAACAAAGATTAGAGTTTGTGGCAAATATAATTTGTTATATCTTAGATGTCATTAATAATTAATCACAATTTGTTGTAGAACTCGTTCCTAAGAATAGAAACAATAACATATTTACTCCAATAATATCCTATATGATTAGGTAGAAATAAATAAAAGTAGATTAATTAAATAATATCTTATGAAAAAGCTTTCTAGAAGCTTCATAGATGTAGCTTTGACTTTATACATATTTGTAGTTAATAAGTAGATTAGAAACATCATTAATAAGTTAATCACGTATTACATATATTAGTAGCTTATAGAACAAGGTAACTATGTAAACATATAGAAAACTTGCTTTATAATTTAAGATATGTATTCTATAATTTGAACATATATTGAAGGTCCTTTAGAACGTTGCTACATAGCTCCTAGTTAGATAGTATATATTGAGGCAAAGGTGAAGCCTCTTTCACTCTTGTCAATGCTTTTCTAAACCATAAACTTATTTCAAGACTTTCTAGTCTTTTTATCTTTGGCAATAGCAATTCTAATTCAATAATATATCCTTTATGAAAAATTCTCCATTCTTTTTAAGTGATACAAGAGTGTATTGATCTTTTAGTTCTATGAAATTCATTTTCTTGATAATATAGGATATAAACCTCCATTATAAGTAATAGAATTGTAAAATTTACAATCCAACTTTAACAACATGTTATAAAAAGTTAGGATCTAAGGTCATAATAAGCATGACTTGGCATCTATAAGAAATAGCCAATCTAAGAAAATATATAGAATCTTTTAAATATATTCAAGGTACTATGTGGCAAGTAGTCATACAAATTATAATATTCTTTGTAATATTTCTTTTGAATCGTTTGTATATATATATATATATATATATATACATACATACAAAGATATAAATACAATGATGTTTTCTATGAGAATAATTAAGATTTGTATAATGTATCTTTATATTTTTAATAACTTTTTAAATAATAATATATTCCATTAAAATTTTATTTTTTAGATTATTTAAAGAGATCCATATTCTACAACATACTACTTAAATGTAGTCTTAGCAATAAAAAAAGTAATTGTGTTAGTTAATAAATTTTCATTAAAACCTAATATATGTAAATATTATATATATATATATATATATATATATATATATATATATATATATATATATATTATAGTCAAATATCTGAATATAATTTTTTTGTACAAATTTTTTTAGTTTTTAATTATATATATTTGACAAAGTTATTTAATATAGTTTTTTTTTTACATCTTTGCTATGGTTATATTATCTCAAGCACACATGTATATTTAATTTATACAATATAATCTAAAATTATAAATAAATAAATAAATAGATATGTATATAATATAGTTATTTTTAATAAGATAAGATCAAGTACATTCATAGTTGCAATCATATCATTATACTTTTATATTAAGTAGAAAAAATATAAGAAATAACTATAAAATTAATTATCATAAGTAATAATTTGTGAAAAATGGTGTTATTTATATTTATTATTATATATATATATATATATATATAAATATAAAAATATAAAATAAAACTTATTTATATTATAATTAGATTGCATAAAATTTTATTTGTAATAGAATTTTGATTCCAAATATAGAAGTTATATTTTGTAATTTAAAAAAAAAATTAATTCTTAATAAAAATAAAATAACTACCTAAGTAAAAAAATATGTTTATGCAATAACTTATATCTCTCTTCTTATAGATAGGTTTAATAATCTTTAAAGGGATATGTCAATAATTTAAAAATATTAATAAACTTACAATCTTTTTTAAATAGTATCATTAAAATAATACTTTTTTTTGGGTCGTTCTATCTAATTATTTCTTCACTTTCTTTAATGAAATTCAATATATATGGTTTTAGCTGATAAAATTAATATAGATATTTTTATTAATTTTTAATTTTTAAAAAGTAATATTATTATTTATGAATTTAGAGAATATATAAATTTTAAATATTTTTAAAATCATTACTTATATTTTATATTTAAAAATCAAATAGACAAGTTAATGTATTAAATAAGTACTAAGTATCATACTTGAAAAACTATTATTAAATAGAAATTTTATGTTAAAACCTTAGGTTATTATGTTTCTTAAATACAAAAACTTAATAAAAAAAAATTTTAGAAGTTTAAAATTGTAATATGCAAGATATTTTCTAATATTACTTAAATAAGGATTCTATCAAGTTTTTAAGTGCAATAAAAACTTTATTAAACTAGTTTTTTTTATTAATTTATTTGTTTAAATGTGCAAATAGGAGATTTTAAGATTAAAAAGATAAGAAACAAACTAACTAACTAATTTATAGTCATCTTTTAATATCTATTATTTTTATAATATTTTTTTTTAAGTAAATTTTAAATAACTAAAAAGAACCCATCTTACATAATCTTTATATAATATGTCAAGTAATTTTTTTAATTTTTAATTTCAAGAAATAAAATTTCAAATGAAGTTTATTTTGTAATAGATGTTTTTTTTAAATCAGAAACTAAAAAATCTATTCCGTCATAAAAATCACTCTAAATATATTAGTTATGTTTTTTATTTATGAATCTAATATAACCTATTGCATACCAATCTTTTCACTTAAATAAATAATACATATATTTTTTACTTCTTTGGATTAATATGTGTTCATATATATATATATATATATATATATATATATATATATAGAGAGAGAGAGAGAGAGAGACAAATTTATAACCACTTGTAATATTTATTATGTTTTTATATGGTATTAATGTTAGCAATTAATAAGTTTGTTGATTTTGTGTTTAAAAAATTAATTACAATTCCGAATCTTTGTATATATCACAATTTATTCAAATCCAAAAGATTTTTTTTTAACTCTAAAAACTTTCATATATAAAATGAGAATTTCATTTAATAATTTTAAAATACTACTAAAAAGAATAGAATTAATAAAATTCTACACAAAAATTTATTATATTTTTAAAAAGTATTGTTTTAATTTTACACAAACATGAAATAGTTAGTTGAAAAGAATATTTAAAATAATTAAAAAAAATATAAAGATCAACACAAACACACTAATTTCTTAAGAATTAATTTTAAAAATTAAAACAATAAAAAAAACATATGTGTATATATATATATATATATATATATATATGCAATACTTGAAATATAGGATTTTGAAGCTTGCAATCACACAAATATTTTATCAATTGGAATAATTATGCTTTTCAACACATTTGATATTGTAATAGTGATATATATATATATATATATATATATATACATACTACATACATACATAGAATTAAAATGATAATATTCTATTCAGAACGTCTAACTACTAGAGAAAATTATATACAGTTTTATTTCATATTGCAATAAAAGTATATCCACCTGGATGGTTTGCTACAAAGATATAGTATTAAATAATTAAAAATAAAAATAATTTAATTTTTTTGTCTTATTCTTACATGTTTATATCTTAATTTACCAAATTGGTAATACCAATAAAACCAATAACAAAGATATACACGCAAGGCTAATGGTGACTATGAAAAGAGTGTAGACCTGATGGGGCCACAATTGACCCATACCAGTTTTCTCAAATAGATATATATCTATATTTATATAATAAGGGAGTTTAGATATAAGACAAAGATATAAAGAAGTCATCTCATTGGCCAAAATCAAAAAATTATTAACCAGTAGAAAGCCCTGGATGAACTATAGAAAGACAGCTGCCCACTACAAACAGTTTTTCTGTGCCCACTGTCACGGGTTTCCGCTAGTCCATATATCTATTTATATATTTAAATGTTTATTCTTTTTACTGCGGTAAGAAATTGGTGAGGGCTGCATGTGCGAATCAGCAAATTGGACATTATCAGAAAGAGCAGATATTCTGCCTCGACTACTGCGCTGGTTTTTGGACTTTTGATGGTGGAACCGCACGCAACGTTGTTTGTTTGCCAGCTCGGGACCCAGAATTGTAGTGAGTGCATACGAAGCCAGGTGAGTGACGCTGCTGCTGCTGCTTCTGCTGAAGTGAGTGAGTGAGTGGTGTTGTGGTGTCTCCTAGTGACGACGAGACATCAGTTTCATCCACCACCCTTGTTTGGCTGATTCGTTGCCATGGTCTCTGACACCAAATCTCTGTTGTGTTGTGGTTCCTATGCCACAGAGAGAATCTGTGGCTGTCTCCTGGTGCAGCATTTTTCGTGTTGTTTTCGGCTCCTTCAACTCGACTGAATTCTGCCATGGATACTGGAATGGCATCCTCGTACCTCACGACAAGCTTGTTTCCGGGGAGCAACATTCCAAGTCTCTCAAAGTCGACAGTGTCACTTCCATTCCCGCTGCAGCTCTTTGGAGCGCATGGAATGGCTGAGGTTCACTGGAGGAGAGGGCTATCAGTGGCTGCGTCCACGCAGAACCCGTCGCCATGGGTTGCGGAACCGGATGTGAAAGAAGGGGATAGGGAGCGGGATGATGGTTATGGGGCTGGCAGCTTAAATCATGTTTACTACAATCCGAAGAAGGTTGAGTTTAGGAGGCCGAAGGTTGGTAGCTGGGCGGCGTCGGTGTGTGATTTTGTTGAGAGGGCGGTAGTGTGGGCGTTTGATGCCGGTCTCAGCGATAAGAAGGCGTACTTGTTGTTCGATAACTATGCGCCCGTGGAGGAATTGGGTCCGGTGGGGGATTTGCCCATTATCGGCACCATTCCGGTATGCCGCGATTGAAGTCAGGCAACTATTCTCAGAGTTCATCTATGGCTTTGATGATGAATTTTTATTTATCGTGAATTCGCTTTGATTTCTGTGTTGCTCTGACTGTTGAAGGAATGTTTGAATGGCGAGTTCGTGCGTGTTGGGCCCAACCCAAGATTGAAACCTATCTCTGGATATCACTGGTGCGTGTATTCTGCGGCTAGCGCTCTCACTCTTCCAATTTTAGTTGGAGACGTAGATTTTGTTCACTTTCATAAATTTCTTGCTGTTGCTCTCAATCTATTATGGTCTCCTTTCTATTTCAACAGCCAAATTTGGATGCATCAAATTTTACTATATATATATTGTGTTCCCAATCTGGAAAACTATCTTTTTATGGTAGTTTGGTGGATTCAACATTGCTTTTGCGGAAGGAGAGATGCTTATAATGGCCTGTGCATTGTTATCTACGCAGGTTTGATGGGGACGGGTAATCAATTTTCTGCCTACATTCTTCGACCTAAGACAATGAATAATTGATCATTTCTATTTAGTTTCTATTAATGTCTTTAATCCTTTAGTAACACGGGGATGTCCTGCAGGATGATGCATGGTTTAAACATTAAGGATGGGAAAGCCACATATGTGGCCCGATTCGTGAAAACTTCACGGTTACAGCAAGAGGAATATTACGGTGCAGCCAAATTTTTGAAGGTATGCGAGGACATCGGCCATACCCAGCTTAGTCTCATTTAGTTACTAAGGGAATGAATCAATTGCCTCAAGCAGGAGTGTTTTTAACTTAACGTTTTGGCAGATTGGACAACTGAAAGGGCTTCGGGGGCTATTTTACATTGCTGTGGAAAAACTACGACTTAGCTTGGGCGTCCTTGACGAATCCAATGGCTTATATGGAGGTCAGTACACCAACATAGCTTTGGATCATTCAATTGAAGTTGGTTCGTAATGCGACACTGACCTAAAAGTGCACATCATGGTGCAGGCAACACAGCCTTCGTGTATCACAATAATAGGCTTCTTGCGTTACACGAGATCGACAAACCTTGTAAGTTCAGCGAAGTTATGCATTTAGAGTGAGTTTTGTGTCTCTTAATTATCAGACGCCACTTCGATCTGCTAACGAAACAATTCTTTCAGTTCACGTTCCTAGGCTTACTTCACCAGCTTCTCTGCAGATGCTATCAGGGTGTTGGACGATGGGGACCTGCAAACAATGGGCCTCCAAGATTACGAGCAGAGACTGGGACATTCATTCACAGCCCACCCAAAAATAGATTCCACCACAGGTTCAATCATTTTTTACCCCTCCCTCCACTATTAGAAATTCAATTTTGGTGGATAAAGGGACTCGCTCAACTACCCACTTTCCTCGTACAATGGCAGAAAGAAGAGCCTGATAACACAACATTATTTGGGAATTATATTATCTGAACTTATGATTCCAATGTTGTTCAATTGAGATCAGGAGAATTGTTTATGTTTGCATACCAAGAGAAGGTCCCATATCTGATCTATCGTGTAATATCCAAGAATGGTACTCTTCGGGAGCCGGTGCCCATTACCATCCCCGAATGCGTCATGATGCACGACTTCGCCATCACCGAGAACTATGCCCTGTTCATGGACCTTCCTCTTCGATTCAACCCCACGGTACCGATTTGCAACAGAGCCTATGTTAGCATGATCAAAGATGGCCTCTAGGTTTGAATTCATATTTTTGATTGCCAACTTTCAGTATCTAGTTTTGGTTACCATAACTTTATTCTTACAGATTCGATTGCCTGTACTTGCATCATGAACTCAGGGTTTGCCAAAAGGGGAGTTCATTTTCAAGTTTGATCCCAGCAAAGAATCACGGTTTGGAATACTGCCCCGGTACGCCACCGATGAGTCGCAGATTCGCTGGTGTAAGATCCCCACTTGTTTCATCTTTCACAATGGTGAGCTTACACAATTATTTTCTTTCTTTGAAGCTTCTTGCTCCTGATGTTCATGAGCGTAGATTAGTTTTCAGATATGCAACTGAAAAACTAAGATAATGTGCGTACTTATGTGAAGCGAATGCATGGGAAGAGGGGGATGAAGTTGTGCTTATAACGTGCCGAATGCCCGGCATCGAACTTGACTTGGAATTGGAATTCAAGAAAGAAAAGGCTTGGAGTGTGTTCTCCAAATTGTGAGCACTCTTCTTCCTCCCAGAAACTAAATTCTTCAATACATCTTATCCCAATTGGGCCCACAGTTTCTTGAAATCACTCGCTCCATTTCAGCTGAACTACTTTACTTGATTTCTGAGCTCCAGATTCGAGTTTAGGATGAACCTTAAGACCGGAGAGGTGAAGCAACGACAACTCTCAAGTTTAAGCACAGATTTTCCCAGAATCAACGAGGAATACACTGGCAGAAAGACCCGGTTTGTCTACTGTGGAGTATTTGACGAGCTAAACAGGGTAATAGGTGTTGTCAAGTATGACCTTGACGAGGAGCCATGCCTCACGACAGGTGACCTGCAAAAGGGTGGCAACGTGGCGGGAGTGTTCAGCCTTGGACCAGGTCGCTCAGGAAGCGAGGCAATTTTTGTGCCACTCAAGCGTGGTATGGAGGGACCCGAAGACGACGGCTACTTGATCCTGTTTGTGTACGATGAGAACAAAGGGTATGGCCTGCCTTTTACACAAACTCATACTTGGAAAGTCTTAAGCAAAAATGTTGAATCTAATAAGGTTTTTGCTGATCAGGACATCAGAAGCGGTGATCATTGATGCCAAGACGATGGCTGCAGATCCCGTGGCAACCGTGAAATTGCCCAGACGGGTTCCTTACGGATTTCATGCCCATTTTGTTAGCCAGGTTTGCTGTGATATACATTCGATTCCTCATTCTATTCCTTGATGGAGTTTTAGAACTGATGTTTGTGAAACTGAGTAAACCATGCCATCTTCAGATGGTTCCGTCACTTCTCGGCGTTTGCTGTAGTCCTTTGACATGTTCGTATTTGTTTTTTTTTATGCGCAATCTGCTGCAGGAGCAACTGATGCAACAGGCATGATTGTAAGAATTTGGATGAACACCAAAACTGTTCGGGACAACCTTCAGCTATTCTTGGCGTGGAGGAGATGACGGTAAAGTTAATGTTATTGCTAGTTCTTGTGATACTCCAAAAAGGTGGAACATGTATATTTATGCTGAGGCGTTCAATTTTTAGAGTGTTTATTGTATAAAAATAAACATGTATATGTTGTTGCATCTAAGAAATCAATTACAGTATCTAAAGTGGATCGAAGTAATGATATTTTAGACAATAGTGTAAATTTAGATTTATTGTGCTATGTTGTGAAAGTGGATGTGTGTGACCTGTGTAATATGCTTTGGAGTTTTGGTTTTTGACATCCAAGTGTGAAAACAATGTTATTATATAGTAAACTTTTGAGAGCTTTGTGTGGTTTTCTATTTTACTCCTAAATACATTCAATGTCTCCACATGCTTGGTTTTCTTCTTGAGATTGCAGTTAAAGAGGAAAATGAAGATAATGAGCAGCCAACGCCAGAGTGTGCCTTCGAGTTTTAGTGTGATAAAATTTCACGAGTTGGAAAACATGCGAAAAGTAAATTTGAGCTACCAATATGTACAACTTTTTATTTATGCAAGCATTTCTTAATTCTGTACCAATTGATAAGTAATATACATAGACACGCACACGCACATATATATATATATATGTATATTTCAATTTTTTTAAGCCATCGACTATAATATATTCCATGTAGAAGATATAATCTAGGTAATATATGAGTCAATGCACAACACAAGATAATCAATCGGGACAACACAGCAGGAGAAAACTTCTTCAGGATTTTGAGTATGAGCAAAGTATACACATGAAAGAGAGAGAGAGAGAGAAAAGCAACCTCCTTTTTCCTAAATCTAAAACTAACTACATATGGGATTAATCCTAAACCTAATTAAATTGGTTAACTAACCTTGATTAAGCCAAACTAATGTATAGCTGAGAACTGAGTTAATTCCTAACTATCTCCACCTTGACTCAGGTTCTAACAAAAAAGAGTCAACTATGAAATAAATAAAACATATACGTAGTATCCAGTTGGTCTTAATATTAGTCAAGTCCAAACAATGGAGAAAGCTCTCCGAAGGTAAGTTCCCATCAAACATAATCTCATAGTCAGGTGTACCTTTCAAATAGCGTAAAACCCACTTCACTACTTCCCAGTGAGGTTTGCCTAGATTTGCCATATATTTGCGCAAAAGTCTATTTGCGTGGACAATGTTAGGTCTAGTGCATGTCATAACATACATCAAACTACCTACCATATTGTCATAGGAAGTAGACTTCATCGTGTGAATTCACTCTCAGTAGAAGGGCAATGAAGCTGTGAAAGCTTAAAGTGAGGAGCCAATGGAATACTAATTGGTTTTGCCTTCTCCATCCCATACTTGGCAAGTACTTTCTCCATATACTGCCGCTGTGACAACCATAGTTGCCTCTGCTCCCTGTAACGATGAATCTCCATTCCTAAAATCTTCTTGACTTGACCCAAGTCCTTCATTGAAAACTCCTTAACATTGCTTTTAGATGTGCTACGCCAGATTTTTTCTCAGCAACAATCAGCATGACATCTACCTAGAGCCAAAACAATGAAAACAAAAGTCTTGAAGTTCTCCACCTTCTTCATGTAAATGCAACAGTCATGTTCACTCCCTGTGAACCCCTTTGACAACATAAAGGAGTCAAATCTCTTATTCCACTGTCTAGGACTTTGATGAGGACATACAATGATCTCAACAGAAGACATACTAGGTCTTGTATATCTTTCAACACAAACCCCTCTAGTTGTGCCACATAAATCTCTACATCAAGCAACCCATGCAAAAAGGCAGTAATCACATCCATTTGATTTAATTCAATATCAAGTATTGCAACCATTGTAAGTAATGCACAAATAGTGGCAAACTTGACAACTAGAGAGAAAAACTGTGTAGTCCATATCCTTCTTTTGAGTATACCTCTTGGCCACAAGGCGTGCCTTGTAAGCGCTTCCTCTTATACACCCATCTACACTGAACCAGCTTCTTGCCTTTGGGAAACTTCACCAGGCGCCATGTTTGATTCTTCTTCAAAGAACCCAACTCCTTCAACATTGCCTCAATCCACTTATCCCTATCTGGAGACGCCATAGCTTCTGCATAGCTAGATGGATCTCTATCCTCCGTGAGTAGAACCACACCAAGATCATCCTCGTCCTCGACCAAATGAATACGAGGATCTACAAAACCAAATCTATCTGGAGGTTGACCAAAGTTCCCACGTGTAGAGCGCTGCAGTTGAGGTTGAGAGATTGCACCTCTACCTAAAGGACCAACAATAGCATCCTCAATCATCCACATATGTCAAAAAATACTTGGCTCCACCTAGAGACTGCACTAGTGGAGGCCTCCAAACATTTGAATGAACATATTCAAGAATCTCATGGAGATGGTAGGAACTAGAACTAAAACTCACTTTCTTTTGCCTGCCATAGATACAATCTTCACAAAAAGAAAGCTTGCTTGACTTGATGCCTTGCAACAAGGATTTGTTGACCAAAGCTGTCAAACCCTTGCCACTAGTGCCACAAGTCAATGGCTGGTGTCTCCCGTGAAGTGGAGCTGTGTCCACTGGAACCAAATGTTCAAGCCTCAACACTTAAGTGCTCCACCACAGCATCTACCTGATCCACCTCCTCAGCAAGGTTCCTACCTTACAAGATGTACAAGTTGTTCTGCCGCAGCCCTTTGATTAAGGTCACTTAAACTTTAATCACAAAAAACTTCCCATCACGTGCAACAAAGTGACATCCATCTTTCTCTAAAGAACCAAGGGAAATGAGATTCTTCTGATAGGGATGTGTCTAACATTAGTCAATGTCCTCACAACTCCATCAAACATCCGAAATCTCACATTGCCCATGCCAACAAAGTCACAACACTCTCCATTTCTAACTTCAACACTGCCAGATGTCTCCTGATAAGTGTGAAAGAAAGAACGCTCTAGACACACGTGATAAGAGGAACTGAATCCAACATCCATTTATTATCACCAACAGCACTTGTACACAACACATGGGCACCATCATCAAAATCAGCAATCACAATGTCAATTGAAGAAATAGATGCACCAGCAAAAGAAGAGTGCTTCTTCTTCTTAAGAGAAGGGCAGTCTCTCTTCCTATGCCCTTTTTCATGACAATGCCAGCACTCAAGAACAAAGGGTCTAGATTTAGACCTATGCTGAAATTTCCTTCTAGGATGTGGAGTAGAACCTCTAGAATGTGGAGTAGAGCGTTCTGCTGGCCTCCTTCTAACGGCCAAAACTGCAGAATCATCTTCATGGAAAGACTCACTTTTTCTCCATTCTGCAAGGAGAGTAGACTTGACTACTTCCAAGTTCAACTTAGTCTGACCATGTGTCATGACAATGACAATGGTAGCATAAGACTTTGGAAGTGCTATCAACAAGATGGTCATCATTCAACTTCTCCCTAGTTTGCAAACCTCGTGCACAATCTCATCAAACGAGGTCAAGTGCTCGCGCATGTTACCACCTTCTTTTAGTTTCAACCGAAAGAGCCGCTCCAACTGATAGATGCGGGAAGTCATAGACATATCCTGTTAGAGCGCAATGAGCTTGTCCTAGATGAGTTTCGAATTCCTGTCCATGCCCAAGATGTTTTTGAGAATGTTATTGGCCAAGAACAGCTCAATGGTGCTGCAAGCCTGCACACACATGTCATCCCACACTACGTCCTTCACATCCGATGGCTTAATCCCAATGATGGTCTTCTCAAGGCCTTGCTGAATCAGTACATTTGTCACCTTGCGTGCCCACAAACTGAAACTGATGTTGCCATCAAACTTCTCCACCTCAAACTTGGGAGCTGTTAACTTGCGTGAACCCATCATCACGGCAGTAAGTAAGTTCTGGGGTAATTTCGTCAACAGAAATCAGTCACTTTATTTGCTTCACAGCCGCTGTGCACATCAACTGAAAACACCAACAGCAATGGGTGCAACGCAGAGAAAAATCTGCTACGAGAACACGATGAAGAGCACAAGTGGAAAACGTAGAGAAAATCCAGGAAACTTCGGCAGCAGTAGAGTCCTTGCACGATAACCTCCATCGTTAGCTTGCCAAGTAGTTTATCAGCCACGTTCTCTGGTGCCCTGATCAATACACACCCTGCTTTTCTGAAGTTATGAGTCCCACTTCAGGTGCTCCCTGTCGTAGGTAAAGGGAGAACAAGTGCGGGGAGATTCTACATCAAGCACAGCCGAAACATATGAAGCCAGCTTGATCGTAAAATCAGCTCCTAATTCGCCAGCTCGGCATGCAGTTGCTTGGCGGCGTTCACTATGTTTGTCAACGCTGGCACAACCTCGGCATACTTCTTGATCTTCAGATCGCAGTCAGGGTTGATTCACAATACCTTGGACTCCAACACCGCCAACATCTTGTGAGCACGGTCAGCCATCTCCTTTGTTGGTG